AAACACCTGATAATTTTTTGCCTAAATGTCAGGGTATGTGTGTGTGTGTGTGTGTGTGTGTGTGTGTGTTTATTGTATAGCTGTGTGTGTTCATGACTGCCTCCTTTCGGTTGGGTCCGCTCCAGTTTCTGTTCATTTTCAGATGGTCTCTTTTTCCCCTCCAAATCTGCCTCAGATCACAGCTGCTGATGGCCCTCACCTCTATCTACTGTACTATCCTCATTCAGACTGTCTACTGTACTATCCTCATTCAGACTGTCTACTGTACTATCCTCATTCAGACTCTTATCTACTGTACTATCCTCATTCAGACTCTATCTACTGTACTATCCTCATTCACACTATATCTACTGTACTATCCTCATTCAGACTGTCTACTGTACTATCCTCATTCAGACTGTCTACTGTACTATCCTCATTCAGACTATCTACTGTACTATCCTCATTCAGACTCGTATCTACTGTACTATCCTCATTCAGACTCTATCTACTGTACTATCCCCATTCAGACTCTATCTACTGTACTATCCTCATTCAGACTCTATCTACTGTACTATCCTCATTCAGACTATCTATTGTACTATCCTCATTCAGACTGTCTACTGTACTATCCTCATTCAGACTGTCTACTGTACTATCCTCATTCAGACTATCTACTGTACTATCCTCATTCAGACTATATATACTGTACTATCAGAGTGCAGACTCTATCTACTGTACTATACCCATTCAGACTCTATCTACTGTACTATCCCCATTCAGACTATCTATTGTACTATCCTCATTCAGACTGTCTACTGTACTATCCTCATTCAGACTATCTACTGTACTATCCTCATTCAGACTGTCTACTGTACTATCCTCATTCAGACTGTCTACTGTACTATCCTCATTCAGACTCTATCTACTATACTATCCTCATTCAGACTATATCTACTGTACTATCCTCATTCAGACTATCTACTGTACTATCCTCATTCAGACTGTCTACTGTAATATCCTCATTCAGACTGTCTACTGTACTATCCTCATTCAAACTATCTACTGTACTATCCTCATTCAGACTATCTACTGTACTATCCTCATTCAGACTATCTACTGTACTATCCTCATTCAGACAATAACTACTGTACTATCCTCATTCAGACAATATCTACTGTGCTATCCTCATTCAGACTATATCTACTGTACTATCCTCATTCAGACTGTCTACTGTACTATCCTCATTCAGACTATCTACTGTACTATCCTCATTCAGACTGTCTACTGTACTATCATCATTCAGACTGTCTACTGTACTATCCTCATTCAGACTCTATCTACTGTACTATCAGAGTGCAGACTCTATCTACTGTACTATCCTCATTCAGACTGTCTACTGTACTATCCTCATTCAGACTCTATCTACTGTACTATCCTCATTCAGACTGTCTACTGTACTATCCTCATTCAGACTCTATCTACTGTACTATCAGAGTGCAGACTATATCTACTGTACTATCAGAGTGCAGACTATATCTACTGTACTATCAGAGTGCAGACATCATGTCACTATCTATCTGGGCTGAGACTAAACACACTCACTGGCAGTATGAACACACACATATTTGCAGTACCAACACACACACACCACACACACACACACACACACACACACTCACACAAACTCTCTCTCTCTCCACACATAACGTAGTCCTATCTAGTGGTGCTGAAGTTTCCTGTCATGTGTGGAAGGTCATTTGAAGGGCTGTAGTAAGGTTGTTCCAGCTCTCAGGAGGATTGATGAGCTGAAGAGGGTTTTCTCCTCCTTTCTTCCTCTGTTTTCTGTCATCTCTGATAAACTGGAAGCAGTGCTGACAGACTGAAGCCATGGGGATTTCTCTCTAACACCAGTGAATCTGTTGAACTAGTGTGTGAGGGGGGAGGGGGGAGTGTGTGGTGTGTGTTTGTGTGAGGGGGGAGTGTGTGGTGTGTGTTTGGGAGGTGGTGGGGGGGATTGTGAGCGTGTGTTTGTGTGAGGGGGGAGTGTGTGGTGTGTGTTTGGGAGGGGGTGGGGGGGATTGTGTGTTTGTGTGAGGGGGGAGTGTGTGGTGTGTGTTTGGGAGGGGGTGGGGGGGATTGTGAGCGTGTGTGATTGTAGTACAGAAAGATAAACATTAGGCCCATGATGGAAGCAGATGCCTTTTGCCTCAGAATTGGTCTTTCTGTTGTGGTGAAAATGTGCTCTGTGGCTCATTGCCCAGCACCTGCTAAACCATATATCTCTCTCTCTTTCTTTATTTGTCTTGGTGAGCCCTCTCATACTTTCCTGTGGGGGAATTCTTTGGCCGTTGAGTTGGAATCACGGATCCATTTGTGAATCATAGTTTTCTCCCTAATGTTTGAATGTAATGTTGAAGTATGCCATGTCTCAAAGCACTGTGAACACAACATGAACACAACATCCAGTTAGGTTGAAGTATGCCATGTCTCAAAGCACTGTGAACACAACATGAACACAACATCCAGTTAGGTTGAAGTATGCCATGTCTCAAAGCACTGTGAACACAACATGAACACAACATCCAGTTAGGTTGAAGTATGCCATGTCTCAAAGCACTGTGAACACAACATGAACACAACATCCAGTTAGGTTGAAGTATGCCATGTCTCAAAGTTCATCCAGTTCAAATAGTATGAAAAAGACGAGTGATTTGTATTTTGTAATGGTGTGTGTTTGTGTGTGTGTGTGTGTGTGTGTGTGTGTGTGTTGGCAGCATGCTACCCTGCTGAAGTGTCTCCCCCCACGTTAGGCTGAGAAGGGGCTTACCTCTGGATTACTGTCTTAGGTCTGATCTGGGGTGGCAGTACCGCGCCGCGCTCCACCACAGGAGTACCATGCACACACACATGCACACACATGGTGTGTAGTCAAACACACATGCATATACTCTCTCTCTCTCTCTCTCACACACACACACACACACACACACACACACACACACACACACACACACACACACAGACACAGACTGTTCTGTCTGCTACCACATGGCAAGCGGTTGCGATGCACCAAGTCTGGAACCAAAAGGACCCTGAACAGCTTCTACCCACAAGCCATAAGACTGTTAAATAGCTACCCGGACTATCTGCATTGACCCTTTTGACTCATCACATACACTGCTGTGACTGTTTATGAACTATCCTGTTGCCTAGTAACTTTATTCCTATTTATATATGAATGGTGTCACATGATCGATGGCTTTGTTCATTCATATATACAGTCATTGGTCTGGGTGGACGTGTGTGTGTGTGTGTGTGTGTTGGTGTGTGTGTGTGTGTGTGTGCGTGTATGTGTGCGTCTGTGTGCTTAGTTGTGTGGGAAAATGCACTCCAGTCCCGGTGCTATGGAGCGTGACCACTGTAGTAAACACAATCCATGATCTGTGATAAAGCCAGAACTCCATTATTTGGCTGTTTGATTGGTGAACGTTTCTCCTTTGGGATAGTGTGAGAAAACACAAGATAATCATACAGAGATAAGGGAATGAGAGAAAGGGCCATTTGGGGACATAACTGGTATTAGACCTATCAGAGACATAGAGGAGGGTAAGGTAGTGATAGTTTAGAGGGAAGTAGAGAGAGAGAAGAGGAGAGGAAGAGAAATGAGGGGAGAGAGGAATAAAGGGAGAGAAAGAAAGGGGAGAGAGAAGTTGAGGGAATGAAAGAGAGAGAGAGAGGAGGAGGATTGGAAGGAACAAGGGGGTGTGGGAATGGAGGGGCTCCCTGTGGACTAACTTGGACATGGGAACACAGTGACACTAACGAAGCGTGGCCGCCCCTCACTGACTTCACAGGGCTGAGGTGGAGGGGTGGGTAGAGGGATGGAGGGGTTCAGTCCAATCTGCAGGAGTGTGAGAGAAAGAGAGGTGAGTGTGAGAGGGAGGGTGGGAGAGAGAGGGAGAGGGAAATAAGGGGTTGCGGGGCCCTAGTCAGTTCCACTTACATCAGAAACAACCTGACCAAAACACCTTGGTTTAAACAAAGGACCAATCACAACACTTTTCCAGAAGTCAGTCTGTACAGCATGTCCTTGTTCTTATTCAGCTTCTCAGAGTTCAACACTGGCTGTCTATTTGCTGTGTGCTTTGGGTTACACACACACACACAGACACACACACAGTTCCGTGTCCCTATAGAGTCAGCGGTAGCAGGGAGGACAGTCAGTCTACTCCAGTCTGTCATTATATCCATATTTATAGATCCTGACATGACATCACCACTCACTCTGGTTGATGTGTGTGTGTGTGTGTGTGTGTGTGTGTGCGTGCGTGCACGCACATTTAGGCCATAATTTCCTGTTTGTTTGTACACTACAGCATGTTTTCCCCTTTTGAGCTGAAAGCTCCTACAACTCCTTTATCCATGAATCTGCTTAGAGTATGCCAGGGGAGGGAGGAGGCAGGTGACCATAGCCTCATTTGGGCCTGTGTTCTGGGGCTGGGGAGCTGGGGAGGCTGGGCCCTGGTTCTCCTTTAGTCTGGCCTGTGTTATAGTAGTATGTTGTGGTAACACTGTGGCTCCAGAGCTCTGTGGTCTGACTGTCATGGACTTTCCCCTATCTATTTGAATCTCTCCTAACTATTTCTGTTAGTCTACAATACAGCTGAAGAATGTGTGCGTTTAATTTTTGGGATCAATTTGTAATTTAGTGGCAGAAATGTTTTTGTGCTCGCTTTGATTGATATGTTGTTATTCTTTATAATGACCAGCTAAATAGCCAAATGTATTCTCATTATGTAGTAAAATATTGCTGAGGTAGGATATCTGTAGTGCAAGTTAACCCTCCTCTCTCTCCTCCTTCTCTCTCCTCTTTCCTCTCTCTCCTCCCTCTACTCTCTCTCTCCTCTCTCTCTCATCTCTCTACTCTCTCTCCACTCTACTCTCTCTCTCTTCCCTCTACTCTCTCTCTCCCTCTCCTCTCTCTCCTCCCTCTTCCCCCAACTCTTCTCCATTCTCAGGACTCTGATGCCTTTGTTTGACCCTGACTCAGGTCTCCTCATAGTATCAGGGATGGTAAGACGTAGTTTGTTGTCTCCCTTAACAGAGAGGATGAAGGCAGCTAGCCTCATTTAATCTTTTACTATTATCTTCCTCAGTAAATACACTCCTGTCTGCTTCTTTCTCTCTTCCATAGGGAGACAGTGTCATTGACTGCTTCGAGGTGTCTGCCAGTGAACCATTCCTTTCCCAAGGTAAGGACAGATCATCAGTGGTTGTTCATTTTCCAAAATAAAACACATTTTCCAATACTGTCCTCCTACCTTTCCCACTCCCTCTCTCACACACCACGCCTGTCCTCTACTCCCTCCTGTCTTTCTCTCCAGTAAGCCACTGTCTGACGGACGCCCCAACGCGAGGTGTTGCCATGGTACCCAAGCTGGCGTTGGACGTCCTGTCCTGTGAGGTCATGCGGGTCCTGCAGCTGACAGACAGCTTCATCGTGCCAATCAACTACCACGTGCCCCGCAAGGTCCAATATCTCTCATGCTACTGTAACAGCAGATCGATCTGTCATTTTGATGCCATGGCAACAGTTCTTCCCCTGTACTTTTTTCTAAACTGATGGGGGGGACTTGGCAATAGTGTATTTTGTAGTCACTGAGGAAAATAAAGTTATGGAATGAGCAACCACTCAACAGGCAGCAAGCCTTTATGGCTTCCATTTTAGAGTATGTTTGTGTTTTTGTGTGTATCTAATTCAGTCAGGACAGGAGTTCCATGCAGACCTGTACCCAGACACCTTGGGCCGGACGGCAGCCATGTCAGCTGAGGAGTGGTGGAAAGGTGGCGAGAAACAGGTACCACCATCACTACACAATATAACTAAAATATGTATTCTAACTTGGATGTACCACCATCACTACACAATATAACTAAAATATGTATTCTAACTTGGATGTACCACCATCACTACACAATATAACTAAAATCTGTATTCTAACTTGGATGTACCACCATCACTCAACACAATATAACTATCCTCTGTATTCTAACTTGGATGTACCACCATCACTCTACATAATATAACTATCTTCTGTATTCTAACTTGGATGTACCACCATCACTCTACATAATATAACTATCTTCTGTATTCTAACTTGGATGTACCACCATCACTCTACACAATATAACTATCCTCTGTATTCTAACTTGGATGTACCACCATCACTCTACACAATATAACTATCCTCTGTATTCTAACTTGGATGTACCACCACCACTCTACACAATATAACTATCCTCTGTATTCTAACTTGGATGTACCACCACCACTCTACACAATATAACTATCCTCTGTATTCTAACTTGGATGTACCACCACCACTCTACACAATATAACTGTCCTCTGTATTGTAACTTCAAATCAAATTTTATTTGACACATGCGCCGAATACAACAGGTGTAGACATTACAGTGAAATGCTTACTTACAAGCCCTTAACCAACAATGCAAAGTAAAACAAATAAAAAAAGTGTTAAGCAAAAAATTTTAAGCAAATAACTAAAAGGCAGCAGTAAAATTAAATAACCGTAGGGAGGCTATATACAGGGGGGTACCGGTGCAGAGTCAATGTGCGGGGGCACCGGCTAGTCGGTAATTGAGGTAATATGTACATGTGGGTAGAGTTAAAGTGACTATGCATAAATAATAAACAGAGTAGCAGCAGAGTAAAAGAGGGGGTTGGGGTGGGGTGGGGTGGGGGGGCAATGCAAATAGTCCGGTTAGCCATGATTAGCTGTTCAGGAGTCTTATGGCTTGGGGGTAGAAGCTGTTGAGAAGCCTTTTGGACCTAGACTTGGCGCTCCGGTACCGCTTGCCGTGCGGTAGCAGAGAGAACAGTCTATGACTAGGGTGGCTGGAGTCTTTGACAATTTTGAGGGCCTTCCTCTGACACCGCCTGGTATAGAGGTCCTGGATGGCAGGAAGCTTGTCCCCAGTGATGTACTGGGCCGTACGCACTACTCTCTGTAGTGCCTTGCGGTCGGAGGCCGAGCAGTTGCCATACCAGGCGGTGATGCAACCAGTCAGGATGCTCTCAATGGTGCAGCTGTATAACTTTTTGAGGATCTGAGGACCCATGCCAAATCTTTTCAGACTCCTGAGGGGAAATAGGCTTTGTCGTGCCCTCTTCACGACTATCTTGGTGTGTTTGGACCATGATAGTTTGTTGGTGATGTGGACACCAAGGAACTTGAAGCTCTCAACCTGTTCCACTACAGCCCCGTCGATGAGAATGGGGGCGTGCTCAGTCCTATTTTTTTTTCCTGTAGTCCACAATCATCTCCTTTGTCTTGATCACGTTTTTGAGAGGTTGTTATCCTGGCATCACATGGCCAGGTCTCGGACCTCCTCCCTATAGGCTGTCTCATCGTTGTCGGTGATCAGGCCTACCACTGTTGTGTCGTCTGCAAACTTAATGAAAGTGTTGGAGTCGTGCCTGGCCATGCAGTCATGGGTGAACAGGGAGTACAGGAGGGGACTGAGCACGCACCCCTGAGGGGCCCCCGTGTTGAGGATCAGCGTGGCAGATGTGTTGTTACCTACTCTTACCACCTGGGGGTGGCCCGTCAGGAAGTCCAGGATCCAGTTGCAGAGGGAGGTGTTTAGTCCCAGGATCCTTAGCTTAGTGATGAGCTTTGAGGGCACTATGGTGTTGAACGCTGAGCTGTAGTCAATGAATAGCATTCTCACGTAGGTGTTCCTCTTGTCCAGGTGGGAAAGGGCAGTGTGGAGTGCAATAGAGATTGCATCATCTGTGGATCTGTTGGGGCGGTATGCAAATTGGAGTGGGGTCTAGGGTTTCTGTGATAATGGTGTTGATGTGAGCCATGACCAGCCTTTCAAAGCACTTGATGGCTACAGACGTGAGTGCTACGGGTCGGTAGTCATTTAGGCAGGTTATCTTAGTGTCCTTGGGCACAGGGACTATGGTGGTCTGCTTGAAACATGTTGGTATTACAGACTCAGTCAGGGACATGTTGAAAATGTCAGTGAAGACACTTGCCAGTTGGTCAGCACATGCTCGGAGTACACGTCCTGGTAATCCGTCTGGCCCTGCGGCCTTGTGAATGTTGACCTGCTTAAAAGTCTTACTCACATCGGCTACGGAGAGCGTGATCACATAGTCATCCGGAACAGCTGGTGCTCTCATGCATGCTTCAGTGTTGCTTGCCTCTTGGCGAGCATAGAAGTGATTTAGCTCGTCTGGTAGGCTTGTGTCACTGGGCAGCTCGCGGCTGTGCTTCCCTTTGTAGTCTGTAATAGTTTTCAAGCACTGCCACATCCGACGAGCCTCAGAGCCCGTGTAGTACGATTAATGTACCACCACCACTCTACACAATATAACTATCCTTTGTATTCTAACTTGGATACAATGTGCATACAGTACCAATAGAAGTGCTTGGTTTTTGACGCGGTTTGTACTTCAATCAACAGCCTGCTGTTCTCTTAAACATCCAATCATGTGTGTCTTCTCAGGTTGAGAAGGTCAGTGTCAACCCAGCCAATCGTCGGAAGCCTAACAACGCTAAGCCAGCCAATCAGACGCCTGCTAAGAAAGAGCTGCCCAGTGGGAGGAGCAAAGAGGTGAGAGTCCAGCATCATCCATTCTCCTCGTCCTCTATGGGTCGCTTTCATTTCTCTTTTGGTTCCCTCCGTTCCCTACATTCCCTCTGCTAGCAACTACGTTTTATTTCATTTTTAAGACAAATGGAATTTGGATTTTGTTTATTTTCTCACAAATTGTTGTTAAATTACTGCATTGGGCTACACATACAGTATTGATTGAATATCTTGGATAAACCTGTGAGTATCTCAAATCTGTAGATAAAAGTAATCCATAAAAGCTGTGAGTAGCTTTGGATAAAGACGTCTGTTTAGTGACCATATTGTTATTATTCCTCCTCTCTAGAAAGTTTGTTTATATTAATCAGACCACATACAGTATATTTAATATTATAAACTGGGTGGTTCGAGCCCTGAATGCTGATTGGCTGAAAGCCGTGGTATATCAGACCATATACCACGGGGTATGACAAAACATGTATTTTTACTGCTCTAATTACAGTACCTTGGTAACCAGTTTATAATAGCAATAAGGCACCTCGGGGGTTGTGAAGTATATTGCCAATATACCACCGCTAAGGGCTGTATCCAGGCACTCCACGTTGCGTCGTGCTTAAGAACAGCCCTTAGCAGTGGTATATTGGCCATATACCACACCGCCTCGTGCCTTATTGTGTAATTATATGATTATATATTGTATATGTATTACTGTATTGTTCTTCCTCTTCAGGAGGCTCCAGTGCGAGGCTGCTCTACCTCCAGCAGTCCCCTGAGCTCCCCCAGCAGCAGTGCTGCCCCGACCCGCTCCCCCTCCTCCACCTCTGGCCTCTCCTCAGGATTCCTCCCCAGCCCCAGCCAGAGTGCCAAAGCCATCAGCAGTATGTTGGGTAAGGCTGTTTTGGAAACTGTAGCAGTACTACATCTCTCTCTCACACACACACACACACACACACACACACACACACACACACACACACACACACACAATCAAACACAGACACACAACACACACACACACACACACATATCCTTACCCATCAGCAACATGCTGGGTAAGGCAGTTTTGGGAAACTGTAGTGGTACTACATTACCCATAATGCTATGTGTTACATATCCGGTTATGTCATTAGGAAGTGTGTTATGTAAAATTTCTCTCTCTCATCTCCTCTCCTCTCATTACCTTATCTTGTCATTATCTTATTATAATGTCATGCTGACTATTGGTTTGAGCTGTAGTTAGAACTGAACTGTGAGAGAGAGAGAGTTGGTGGTTTGCACTAGACTGGAGAGAACCTTGTTTTTTAATCTGAATCTGTTTGATGATCCAATCCTACACACTGCTAGCATATCAAGATCTGGGACCAGGCGCACTGCCAGTATCCCCTGTCTGATGTAGCCTGGTACCATTCTGAATGTGCTGTAACCAACTCGTTTGTTAACCATAGAAGAGTTTCCCACAGCACATATAGTATGGGACTAGGTTACTAATGATGTACCTGGGTTGTGTTCATTGGGCACTCCGTAACGAAACGTTTTGCAACGGAAAACTAAAACAAGCGTTTCTTATTGGACCAGGTACATCATTGTAAGTCCAGGCACTCCCTCCCTGTTTAATTTCTTCAGTTTGGTGCTTAATGAACAAGACCCAGGTTACAAATAATGTAGCTAAGGTCTAAAATCACCCTGCTCTCCTCCTCCCTCCCTCCCTCCCCCTCCCTCCCTCCCCTCCTCCCTCCCTCCCCTCCCTCTCCTCCCTCCCTCCCTCCCCTCCCTCTCCTCCTCCTCCCTCCCTCCCTCCCTCCCCCTCCCTCTCCTCCCTCCCTCCCCCTCCCTCTCCTCCTCCTCCCTCCTCCCTCCCCCTCCCTCTCCTCCTCCTCCCTCCCCCTCCCTCTCCTCCTCTTCCCCTCCTCCTCCCTCCCTCCCTCTCCTCCTCCTCCTCCCTCCCTCCCTCCCTCCCCCTCCCTCTCCTCCTCCTCCCTCCCTCCCCCCTCCCTCTCCTCTCCTCCCTCCCTCCCTCCCCCTCCCTCTCCTCTCCTCTCCTCTCCTCTCCTCTCCTCTCCTCTCCTCTCCTCTCCTCTCCTCTCCTCTCCTCTCCTCTCCTCTCCTCTCCTCTCCTCTCCTCTCCTCTCCTCTCCTCTCCTCTCCTCTCCTCTCCTCTCCTCCCTCCCTCCCTCCCTCCCTCCCTCCCTCCCTCCCTCCCTCCCTCTCCTCCTCCCTCACTTCCTCCCCCAGGTCCCAGCAGTAAGTTCCGTCACCTGCAGGGTGTGGTGCTCCACAGAGACACCCACTTCACCAACCTGAAGGGGCTCAACCTCACCACACCCGGGGAGTGTGATGGCTTCTGTGCCAACCTCCATCGCGTGGCCGTGCCCCTCGCCACCGCCGGGGGTCAGATCGCCATATTTGAGGTACTTCCATACTAAGGAAATGGAAGATAATATTTCTTTATTCGAAATGTTGTAGTATTCTTTTAGTTATTTTTATTTGTCCTTATATTGATCTTTTTTAAGTGAGCCCTGGCCAAGAAAAAATTAGGGTGTTTTATGGCTGTGTCATCTTATTAGTTGGAGGGGAGTAGACAGCGCTTCAACCAACATGAAATAAGCGGCCGCTACAGAATTACATATACTGTAGAATGTAATAATTAATAGTGTAAATAGTAATTTAATAGGATCTCTGCAGGTGCCACCATATAGAACAAAGATGTGGCTTTATTGGTTCACACACTGAAGAAAGAGGGATGTATTTCATTGCCCCCCTGCTCCCCTCCTCAGTTGTCTCAGGCTGGGAAGCTAGCGGACACAGGCCTGCCCACCATCCAGAACTCTGTCAACGTGGCTGACTTCTCCTGGGACCCCTTCAACAGTCACAGGCTGGTGGTGGCGGGCGACGATGCTAAGATCCGTGTGTGGCAGGTGCCTGAGGGGGGTCTGACAGAGACCCTGACCGAGCCAGAGGCCATCCTGCAGGGTAAGACACACTCCGCAGGGAACTTGAGCCCAATTAAGTTCAGTTAAAGTTGAATTAAATTGGACTCAGAGCAGGGGCTTTTGGGGTCCAATGTGAAATATATGAACATTTAGATGGGTCCAATGTGAAATATATGAACATTTAGATGGGTCCAATGTGAAATATGTGAACATTTAGATGGGTCCAATATGAAATATGTGAACATTTAGATGGGTCCAATGTGAAATATGTGAACATTTAGATGTGTGAGTGAATGTAGTCACATATCAGTGCACTATCCTTCATTCAATGAGTGACAGAAACTAAATGTACAGGATACCGGTATGCAATTTGCTACAGTGTCTCATATTATCCTTATATAGCCTTATACTGTGTGATTTACTGAGTAGATCATAACATGATCAATAGAAATAAATAATATATTGATCGATTGATAGAATGTGAGTGAGTGACAGGGGTTTTGACCAATCACAGGCCACACTGAGAAGATCTACTCAGTCAAGTTCCACCCCCTGGCGTCGGGCCTGCTGGCATCCTCCTCCTACGACCAGACTGTGCGCCTGTGGGTCCTGGAGTCTGGGGACGAGGTCAAAGTGCTCCGGGGACACCAGGATCAGGTGACGGGGGAGGAGGGAAAGGAGGCGGGACATAAGGAATGTGGCATTGGCAGAGGGCGGAACCACTGGTTTTGTTAGAGAATAGGGCGTGGTAGAATTGATCTGGGATAATAATAATGATAGATGGATGGATGGATATTGATTGATTGAGACTACCTACAGTATGTACAGTGAGGGAAAAAAGTATTTGATCCCCTGCTGATTTTGTACGTTTGCCCACTGACAAAGAAATGATCCGTCTATAATTTTAATGGTAGGTTTATTTGAACAGTGAGAGACAGAATAACAACAAAAAAATCCAGAAAAACGCATGTCAAAAATGTTATAAATTGATTTGCATTTTAATGTGGGAAATAAGTATTTGACCCCCTCTCAATCAGAAAGATTTCTGGCTCCCAGGTGTATTTTATACAGGTAAAGAGCTGAGATTAGGAGCACACTCTTAAAGGGAGTGCTTCTAAACTCAGCTTGTTACCTGTATAAAATACACCTGTCCACAGAAGCAATCAATCAGATTCCAAACTCTCCACCATGGCCAAGACCAAAAAGCTCTCCAAGGATGTCAGGGACAAGATTGTAGACCTACACAAGGCTGGAATGGGCTACAAGACCATCGCCAAGCAGCTTGGTGAGAAGGTGACAACAGTTGGTGCGATTATTCGCAAATGGAAGAAACACAAAAGAACTGTCAATCTCCCTCGGCCTGGGGCTCCATGCAAGATCTCACCTCTTGGAGTTGCAATGATCATGAAAACGGTGAGGAATCAGCCCAGAACTACATGGGAGGATCTTGTCAATGATCTCAAGGCAGCTGGGACCATAGTCACCAAGAAAACAATTGGTAACACACAACGCCGTGAAGGACTGAAATACTGCAGTGCCCGCAAGGTCCCCCTGCTCAAGAAAGCACATATACATGCCCGTCTGAAGTTTGCCAATGAACATCTGAATGATTCAGAGGAGAACTGGGTGAAAGTGTTGTGGTCAGATGAGACCAAAATGGAGCTCTTTGGCATCAACTCAACTCGCCGTGTTTGGAGGAGGAATGATGCCTATGACCCCAAGAATCCATCCCCACCGTCAAACATGGAGGTGGAAACATTATGCTTTGGGGGTGTTTTTCTGCTAAGGGGACAGGACAACTTCACCGCATCAAAGGGACGATGGATGGGGCCATGTACCGTCAAATCTTGGGTGAGAACCTCCTTCCCTCAGCCAGGGCATTGAAAATTGGTCGTGGATGGGTATTCCAGCATGACAATGACCCAAAACACACGGCCAAGGCAACAAAGGAGTGGCTCAAGAAGAAGCACATTAAGGTCCTGGAGTGGCCTAGCCAGTCTCCAGACCTTAATCCCATAGAAAATATGTGGAGGGAGCTGAAGGTTCGAGTTGCCAAACGTCAGCCTCGAAACCTTAATGACTTGGAGAAGATCTTCAAAGAGGAGTGGGACAAAATCCCTCCTGAGATGTGTGCAAACCTGGTGGCCAACTACAAGAAACATCTGACCTCTGTGATTGCCAACAAGGGTTTTGCCACCAAGTACTAAGTCGTGTTTTGCAGAGGGGTCAAATACTTATTTCCCTCATTAAAATGCAAATCAATTAATAACATTTTTGACATGCGTTTTTTCTAGATTTCTTTGTTGTTATTCTGTCTCTCACTGTTCAAATAAACCTACCATTAAAATTATAGACTGATCATTTCTTTGTCATTGGGCAAACGTACAAAATCAGCAGGGGATCAAATAATTTTTTCCCTCACTGTAGAAGGAATGTGCATGTGTCTCCTTCGCTTCATTTCAACTTTTTCCTTTCTCTGTTCCCTCTCTCCTTCCTGGTGTGTATGTAGATATTTGGGATGGCGTGGAGTCCAGATGGTAAACTCCTGGCCACGGTGTGTAAGGATGGGAAATTGCGCATCTACGACCCTCGCAAGTCTGCTGACCCAGTACAGGTGTGTGTACGGGAGACCTGAGGAGTTTTTGAACCTTTTTGTGTGGAAACAGAGTATTTACAAATCGCTCTCTTTCTCTCCTTCTCCTTCTCTCTCTCTCTCTGCAGGAGGGTGCAGGTCCTGAGGGCCACAGGGGGGCTCGTGTGGTGTGGGTGTGTGACGGCAAATACCTGATGGTGTCGGGTTTCGACAGGTGAATATTTCTCTGTATTTCTGTTTGGTAGTTGAGCTTCAATTTGTGCATAACAATCAATTTACCTTAATTTCATTCATTCATTCAGTTCATTGTCTGTCTATGACCATTCAGACAGTCTGACATGTAGTTCACCCATAATCTTGGTTCACATTTAAAAAACTGTTCACCTTTGTTGGAGACCAATGACTTTATGGTCCTAGTGAAGAGGAATACAACCTTTCTGACCCTAGACCTCATTGATGATGTCACCACAGTTCACCTCACCTTTGACCCCTGATGTGTTTTCCCCTTCTGCAGTCGCAGTGAGAGAACCCTGTACCTGCACTCCGCTGAGTCCCTGTCCTCCGGGGCCATCGCCAGCGCCCCCACTGATGTCTCGCCCTCCACCCTCATTCCCTTCTACGACCCCGACACCAGCGTCGTCATCCTCACCGGAAAGGTAAACAACAGCAAACAAACTAATAAACAAACAGAGCATTTATTTTGAATGGATGAAAATAGGAGCCATATTGACTTGATGTTGTGTTGAAAGTCTGTTACAGACTCTTGTGCTTAATGATAATAATGTCTGCCTAGCCTGGTTCCAGATCTGTTTGTGCTGTCTTGCCAACTCCTATGGCATTTCAGTAGTAGACAACAAAAAACGATCTGGGACCTGGCAAATGTCGGCCATTGGTGGATTGGTAGATTCATACTGACTCCCCATACCCAGACTTTGACACGAGTAAACCTATACAGCCATTGTTTGTTGTTGTTGTTGTTTACCAGGGTGACACGCGAGTGTACATCTTTGAGATAGTGCCAGAGGCTCCCTATTTCCTGGAATGTGCCAGCTTCAACTCCTCAGAGCCCCACAAGGTATAGTCTTTATGTTTACTGCATTTACATTCCTCCTTTTCACTCTTTCTTTTCTCCTTTTCATATATCCCTCTCCTTTTTATTACATGTTTTGTAGTCAATGGATGAAAACATTTCCCTGAATTTGTGACTTGTATAAAATGTCTGTGAATTGATTGACTGACTGACTAATTGACGATCAGTCAATCAATTACGCTGGCTGCTGTAGACCTGTAGAATCTCTCTGCATGAACTTCCTGTTTCCTGTGTTTAGGGCTTGGCCTTCCTGCCGAAGACTGAGTGTGTGGTGCAAGAGGTGGAGGTGGCCAGGGGTCTGAGGCTCAGTAAGACCTCCATAGAGCCAGTGGCCTTCAGAGTCCCCCGCGTCAGAGTGAGTCATGGCTGAACACCTCCATCTAGTGTATATTTGGGGGAAATAGGAAAAACCTGCAGTTATTTGATGACTTTTCAGACCATGGCCTCAAAGGACTAGCAGTAAAAATGGGTTTAGTATGTGAACCCCTGTTTGTTCTTTGTCTATGGACTTTGAGTTTGAGTTGTGAGTTCTGAACTAACCCCGTCATGTCTCGTCTCCCTCCCTCCTTCTCTCCGTCCGTCCACAGAAAGAGTTCTTCCAGGACGATGTGTACCCAGACACAGCAGTGTGGTGGGAGTCCTCTCTGACAGCCTCAGCCTGGCTGGCTGGTTCTGATGGGAAGCATCGCTCCATCAGCCTCAAGCCCAAAGACATGACCCCAGGTAGGGGCTAACCTCAGCTCTGCTCTGCTCGGCCCGGGCACATATAGTACAAACAGTGGACTGAAGTCAACAGCATTACAGCATTACTGTTAGATCAGCATTTTGAATTTCAGATGAGAAGCAAAGCATGTACAGTTTATAAGGGCCAACCTATAGCAGAATTCCCTGAAATGCTCTCACTGCACCAAATGCCCTACATTTATACTCCTAGTTATTCATACACTGAAGAGGTGCCACACAGAGGATCTAAGATCTTTTATCTGTGTTGACTCCAAAGGAGCGTTATCTGGTGACTGTTTAATAATGTTAACACTCAGTGGTGACTAAAGATCTGGACTCCCAGTGTGTCCAGTCTGAGACATACCCCCTACATGCTAAGAAGTGCAAACGTTAGATATTACTGCACTGTCGGAGCTAGAAGCACAAGCATTTCACTACACCCGCAATAACATCTGCTAAACACATGTATGTGAACAATAAAATGTGATTTGATTTTGATTAGCATGTGTGAAGATCCATGTCCTTCCAGACCTGACTGATTGAGACCGATCAAGCCAGAGAAGACTTGCTCAGTGTCTCTGCAGGTGGCCTGCTGTGGTCTAGCGGTTAGGTTAGGGCTGCTGTCTTTAGAACACACAGTATATATACAGTGGTCCACCGCCATTCTGATACAAACCTCTCCCAACTCTCTTGTCTCACTTTCACTGTTTCTGTCTGTCTGTCTGTCCGTCTGTCCTCTCAGTGAGTGAGGCACCCAAGGAGGTCCAAGTGAGAAAGTACCTGCCATCCTCTCACTACCTGGAGGAGAAGACTGACGAGCAGAAGAAAGATGAGGTCTGTCTGTCTGCCTGTCTGTCTGTGTGCACCTGTGTGTCTGTCTGTCTGTGTGCACCTGTTTGTGTGTGTCTGTGTGCGTATATGTATGTGTGTGTTGCTACTATCTGAATGTAAAGCATCTTATCTTAGTGAGTATTTCTCTTTGAGTGCAGCTAGCTATATGGAAGCTTGGTGACTGTTTTGTTATTTGTCATGTTTTGTCACAGTAATAGTATGAATAGTTATTAGTAGGGATGGAAAAATCTATTTTGATATCCGTTTTAACCAATATCATGTATGAATGTTTCATTTTCTGTTCATTTCCACGGCTTTGTGAAGTCCAGACAACTGCTTGCGGATTTTCTATTGGGCCAGACGTGAATATTCTGGTAGCATATAGGCCTACCTACCTAACCAGTTTGAATCCAATGGGAAGCCAGTTGATGGCCCATCAGCAGGCAGTTAACTTTGCTAAATGAAGAGCCTGTGAGAGGGTTTTGTGCCTGCAAGACTCATGAATGCTCTTTTACCTAATAGTGTAGGTTAATAGCAATGATAAACCGATATCACAATATGTCTTGCTCATATCGATATCAAACAATATCGAAATCATGTTAAATGATGGATATTGGTACCCACCAAATCAAAATAAAATAAAATAAATGTATTGGTCACATACACATAGTTAGAAGATGTTATTGCGACTGTAGCAAAATGCTTGTGCTTCTAGTTCCGACAGTGCAGCAATATCTAGCAAGTAATATCTAACAGTTCCACAACAAATACCTAATACACACTAAGTAAATCTAAGGAATTTAATAAGAATATATAAATATATGGATGAGCAATGTCATTGTAACCTCCCGAGTGGCGCAGTGGTCTAAGGCACTGCATCTCTGTGCCACTAGAGATCCTGGTTCGAATCCTGGCTCTGTCGTAGCCGGCTGCGACCGGGAGACCCATGGGGTGGCGCACAATTGGCCCAGCGTCGTCCAGGGTAGGGGAGGGAATGGCCGGCAGGGATGTAGCTCAGTTGGTAGAGCATGGCGTTTGCAACGCCAGGGTTGTGGGTTCGATTCCCACTGGGGGCCAGTATGAAAAAAAAATATATATATATATTTCATGTATGCACTCTGTAAGTCGCTCTGGATAAGAGTGTCTGCTAAATGACTAAAATGTAAAAATAGATAGTATAGAATAGAGTATATACATATGAGATGGGTAATGGGTAGTATAGAAACACCACTAGTTAGTAGTGTGACTATAGTGTGTTAATCATGTGCCTGTGCTACAGCTGTTGAGTGCCATGATAGGCAAGCTAGGGAACATGGATGACAACCCTCTACCACAGGAGTCCTTCCAGGGAGTAGAAGACGATGAGTGGGTGAGTGACAAACACACACACACACACACACAAACACAGACACAGATGTACACAGATGTACACACTCACATTTAACCATGCTCTTGTGTCTTTCAGGGTGACTAGTGTGTGTTGCCTTGCGGACCTGCTTGCGGTGCCAGCAGTAACCAAGGGGCCTGCTGGACTGAAACTTGCCATTCCTGCGTGCCACTGATGCATCCTATGTCAAAAAAACATCTCCCAAACACCTAACATTAAACCTTCCAGAAATCCCAGTTGGAGAATTGTGTGTGTGGATTTCCTGCTTATTTTCCTGGGACTTTTGGGGAATGTTACCAGACTTGTGCAACCCTACCGCCCATATCCCCATATCATCCTCTAATACTCTGAATAAGTAGACGTTGCCTTTAACCATTGGCTGATCTAGGATCAGATATGTTTTCCTCTCCATAATGGTTAAAGTTAGGATTGGAGGTTTGGAATCTGATCCTAGATCTGTGGTTAAAGGCAACCTTACCTCAATTCGACCTTTGACTTGCAGCTGCCTTGTACTGTAAATAGCTAACATTCCTACTAGGCTAGATAGTTAAATGACTCCCAACACTTCCTTACAACCCAGCCCTTACCTCCACACTGGATGGACACCTGTGTGTCTGTCTGTATGTTACCACTCCTAACCTTACACCTGTGTCATAATAATAATGACTAGACCACTGCTTGCTTTTTTGGGCCAATATGAACCGAACTCCATAATCTTTGAAACACAGTAACTATAGAAAAACTCAAACGCATGCTCTTGAATACAGTATCTATGGTCTTCCGGATTTACCACCACCTATGCATCACTATATATTGACAGACACAAACACACACACACACATAGACTCACACTCACTCACTCACTCTCCACCTCTGCACCTGGATATCCCATCTGCACCTCCAGCTCCTGTAGTCCGTGGATGTTAGATGGTCAGTGATATCCCCATACAGTCTCAACAAGCACACAGCAAAAAAACACAGACAGGGTACAACAGGGTAAATAGGCTTCAGGTTAAAGCATGACTTTGATTTCTATTGATAGAAATATAATATTATTTTGTTGTTTAGGTAGCTTCATTCTCTGGCCAGTGATAAAGAACTACTAGCAGTCCAGTACCACTCCAGGGTCGTGTTCATTAGTCACCAAACGGAAGAAAACAACCTCAAACAGGGAGGGATTACTTGGACTTGTCCAATAAGAAACGCTTATTTTCGTTTTCCGTTGCAAAGCGTTTCAAAACGTTTTCCATTGCGTGCCCTAATGAATGCGACCTAGGTGCATATCTTAGTTCCGCCAGCTGATCTTGGGAGATAGTGTATAGCATTGGGGCTGTGCTCTGTTTTGGGGGACTCTTAAATGTATGTGACGTTCTTACATGTGGGTGTCATGTATTGAAAAGCCAAAACACCTTCTGTGGGAGTTCTACAGGAGTGTGTCTGTGCATCTCTGAGGTTGTAATATGGTGGAGAGCAGTATGTATCTGTACGTTTCTTTCTAGATCGATAGACTATATAACTGGAATTCCTGTACCTCATATGTTAACACTTGGTCTTAAGACTGTTATTGAAGTATTCCTCGCTAAAGGAGCTCATTCTTTTATTATACTGTAGTAAACAATCATTCTGTTTATTTTTCTTGAAAACTTACAGTATTAATACTATATGATGCAATCACAGCAGCCATGATCAAGGCTAGTACAGCACAAGGCAATAATTGTAATAGGCTAATCCAAGTCTGATCGAACCAATCATGTTGTTTACAATGACAGAAAGACTGGAACCAACCAACCAACCTTGAATGGTAGTCAGACTCACTGAGTTTACACAGGCAGTCCAATTATGATTATTTTGCCACTAATTGGTCTTTAAACCAATCAGATCAGAGCTTTTTGCCAATACTTGGGCAAAATATCAGAATTGGGCTGCCTGTGTAAACGCAGCCATTGTGTAGTACTTGAAAAGTGAACACACATCCATGCATTGACTGTAGGGCCTAGATATTGTTGGTGTCAGTGACTGTGTGTGTCATGTGTTTTGTGCCTGCAATCTCTCAAATGTCTTACATTGTTCTTTGGGATATTAACAAAAATAAAAATCTGTTCTTTTTTTTAAATACTTTGAATAATGCATTATTTCTCTGTCCATCTTATGAATAACGGTTTTGTGGGAATGTTCATGTTGCCTTGCAATAAACAACTTTTTCAACCTTGTACACATGCCATTCTTTGTCATTCAATTTGTTGCTTAAAACAAAAGTATGTTTAAAGGGGAAAACATATGCTAATCTCAAATAAAAAGGGCTAAATTAGTAAATCTACTTATGTCATGATGTTGCCAGAAGATTCCGACCCTACTGTTACGCTTGTTTACACTGAGCTCCACTGGGGTCTGACAGCATGGCACTAGAACTTGTGTTGAACAGGCTGTGTGCGGACTACGCTGTGGAAATGGCCAAATAAAAGTCATGTGTGAGGAATGGCTTAGTATATGTCAAACTCTCCCTAATCTATGGATGCTCGTCTGAAGTACAATAATTAATTGGTAATGCATGTCATTGTTGTCAAGGGTGCATTAACAAAGGCAATAAACAGCCACACACTAGAACGTTGTTGTTGTCTTTGAATAGTTTATTTATTGTTCGAGCTTCAAAAACATAACTGCTGGACACTGTCTTAGCAAATATGTTGAATCCCAATCAATATCGTCATTCATGTTTAAAAGGCATTTCTAGGGACAAAAACAGTACATACAATAGCAAATTAATTCACAATGACAAATTCATAACATTGCTATACAGTACAGTATGAAGACCAGACTGAATCCTGTTTGGGAAGTAAGCAGGTCCCCTGTACCTGCACCCATGAGGGGAGTAGTTCAAGTCAAGGTACCGGGGATGAGCTTTGCTGAGGGCCCTATCCTCAGCAAAGGCCCCCATATTCATTCAAAATTATTCAGTGGCATTAGAATTCCCACCCACTAGTTCCAGAGTGAATTCTAATGTAAGCTAATATAGCAATTATTAATCCTACTGCTTTCACAGAGACAAGAGAAAAACACTTTCACGTATAGGCTTAATTCATGAAAATCATGTACAGAGCAATAATAGATGTTCCACTGGTGGTAGGTACCATTTTAGAATATAACGTCAACACTTGTAATAGGGGTATCTGGAGAAATGAAAACTTGAATGAAAACAATCGGAAAGGAACAATAATGTGAATTACATTATGTTCACCTATTGCCAAACAGGACTGATGAATGACTGCATGGCGGATGGCAAGCCTGGTGGTATGTAGGTTGATGGCATAGTACGGTGGACTGCACCCACTGTGATTAGTGACACATTACTGCCATCTGAGTACTCAAAAGCTTATTGTTTAACTCAGAAGCTAATGGTTTAAATCAAACATCTCCTTGGAGGATACCAGGTACTTTTTGAAACAAAGTAACATAGTAATAATCTCTTGCACATGAGAAAATAAAACATATCCTTGGAGGATACGAGGTATGGCGTATTTAAATAGGAAATCTCAACTAAAATCACTTCTAATCACTTTAGGGCCCTCAGCAAAGCTCACCCCCGGCACCTTGACTTAACCTACTCATTTTACATTTACGTCATTTTAGCAGACGCTCTTATCCAGAGCGACTTACAGGAGCAATTAGGGTTAAGTGCCTTGCTCAAGGGCACATCGACAGATTTTCCACCTAGTCGGCGATTAGAACCAGCGACCTTTCGGTTACTGGCACAACGCTCTTAACCACTAAGCTACCTGCCGCCCTACCTACCTACTCCCCTCATGGGCGCAGGTACAGGAGACCTGCTTACTGCAAAAACAGGCAATGTTAGCAATGTTATGAATTTGTCACTGACATTTCCACAGTGCAACGACATAGCCCGCACGGGAGCCTGATTGGCTGACTATCCTTTGTTGTTCAAAACACTTTCTACCTAGCATGAGGACGAAAAGGGCAGCTTTCTGGAAAATCTTCCCGGTGTAACAATGGGACAATTCGTAGTACAACACATTTCTCATCCCTGGATTGAGGTCATGCTGTCCGACCCTAGTGCAGCTAGCTGTAAGGAAGCTAGTCAGATCTGGGTAAGAGCGTCTGCTAAATGACTTAAATGTAAATGTAAAGACATTATGAACGCTGCAGCCCGTCTGGTGTTCAACCTTCCCAAGTTCTCTCATGTCACCCCGCTCCTCCGCACACTCCACTGGCTTCCAGTTGAAGCTAACTTCTGCTACAAAACCATGGTGCTTGCCTACGGAGCTGTGAGGGGAACGGCACCTCCTTACCTTCAGGCTCTGATCAGACCCTACACCCAAACGAGGGCACTACGTTCATCCACCTCTGGCCTGCTAGCACCCCTACCTCTACGGAAGCACAGTTCCCGCTCAGCCCACTCAAAACTATTCGCTGCTCTGGCACCCCAATGGTGGAACAAGCTCCCCCACGACGCCAGGACAGCGGAGTCACTGACCACCTTCCGGAGACACTTGAAACCCTACCTCTTTAAGGAATACCTGGAATAGTATAAAAGTAATCCTTCTCCCCACCCCCCAATAAAAAAAAAGTGGTTGTCCCACTGGCTATCATAAGTTGAATGCACCAATTTGTAAATCGCTCTGGATAAGAGCGTCTGCTAAATGACGTAAATGTAAAATGATGATGAAGGCTGCACAATGAAAATGGGTGCAGTTTAAACATCCATCCACTAGAGAGCAGTATTTTCATACAGTGAAAGCGCCGACTTGTGGATCTTCATCAAGCTCGAATATCTTTCTTCCGAGTTTGGCCCTTGAACTTTGAACCAACTGCGACCTTGATGGTGGTACATGTGAAAACGCCGTGCTCCTCCAGCGTCTTATATTGTACTGTACTGTAAATAGTCGGAGAAAAGCAATGGTGAGATATTTTTGTCTTTTGAAAAAATATGGATTGCTGTGTCATGTTTAGGGAAGCTGTGAAGGAGAAACGCTGCATGCTTCTCTTGCCATAGCCCGCACACCTTGCCAATCTTGGCTGTCTAATTTAGCTTATGTAACCGTAATGACTCCTTGATATGTCTTCTACCTTTAGCTAGGACGCTAGCTCATATTGTTGCTTTAATAAGCGAGTTTACTACACTGAACAAAAATATAAACTCAACATAAAGTGTTGGTCCCATGTTTCATGAGCTGAAATAAAACATCCCAGAAATGTTCCATACGCACTAAAATGTTGTTTCTCTAAAATGTTGTGCATACATTTGTTTACATCCCTGTTAGTGAGCATTTTTCCTTCGCCAAGATAATCCATCCACCTGACCAGTGTGGTTTATCAAGAAGCTGATTAAACAGCATGATCATTACACAGTTGCAGCTTGTGCTGGGGACAGTAGAAGGCCACTCTAAAATGTGCAGTTTTGTCACACAACACAATACCACAGATGTCTCAAGTTTTGAGGGAGCGCGCAATTGGCATGCTGACTGCAGGAATGTCCACCAGAGTTGTTGCCAGAGAATTGAATGTTCATTTCGCTAACATAAGCTGCCTCTGACGTCGTTTTAGAGAATTTGGCAGTATGTCCAACCGGCCTCACAGTATGTCCAACCCCTCACGTATATGGCGTCGTGTGGGCGAGCGGTTTGCTGATGTCAACGTTGTGAACAGAGTGCCCCGTGGTGGCGGTGGGGTTATGGTATGGGCATGCATAAGCTACGGACAACGAACACAAACGGACAACGAACACAATTGCATTTTATCGATGGCAATTTAAATGCACAGAGATATCGTGACGAGATCCTGAGGTACATTGTCGTGCCATTCATCTGCCACCATCACCTCATGTTTTAGAATGACAATGCACGGCCCCATGTCGCAAGGATCTGTACACAATTCCTGGAAGCTGAAAATGTCCCAGTTCTTCCATGGCCTGCATACTCACCAGACATGTCACCACCCATTGAGCATGTTTGGGATGCTCTGGATCGACGTGTACGACAGCGTGTTCCAGTTCCCGCCAATATCCAGCAACTTTGCACAGTCATTGACTAGGAGTGGGACAACATGCGCTGCATGAGGCAAATGGTGGTCACACCAGATACTGACTGGTTTTCTGATCCACGCCCCTACTTTTTTTAAATGTATCTGTGACCAACAGTCATGTGAAATCCATAGATTAGGGCCTAATGAATTTATTTCAATTGACTGATTTCCTTATATGAAATGTAACTCAGTAAAATCTTTGAAATTATTGCATGTTGCGTTTATATTTTTGTTCAGTGTAGTTAATGACGCGCTCATCCGCACTGCGCCTACTGCACAGTCACTGAGCGTGCATCAAACCCACTCTACCTTTGCCCACTCTGCCTGATCTGAAATACTGTCGTAACAGTATGGCTCTGGCAGGTTCACAATGTTGACTGTCAACACAATGTTGTTTGAAACTAACCAGGTCTAATGTGAGCCAAGGGGGAGACGTGGGTTTTGTTAACATTGCTGTTGCCATTCATTCATTATGAGCTGTAATCTGTCGCAAGACTAGGCCTTCTTGAGCCAAACCAGACTGTTGCGTTCTGTTGACATAGTGTAGCTAACAATCTCTTGTCTCTGCGTAGGCCAGATATCTTGCACAGATCATTGTCATGGGGACGCAGGTGGTAGGACGGGCGTTTGCGCGTGCGTTACGGCAAGAATATGCAGGTATGTTCCTCACTCAACAATGCTTTTGTATGGTATTTCAATGTAAAATGGACTGTGAAAACATGTCTCATTTAGGGCAATTAAGTCTCTTTCTCTCTCTGAGAGAGAAACGGACTCGTTAGCTGAGAAGGCGACCAACCCTGTCTCTTCTGTCTCTGTCTGCAGCAAGTCAAGCTGCAGCGGAGGCCAGGGGGCGTGCCGGCCAGCAGTCTGCAGCAGCCTCTAGTATCACTGGGATGACGTTACAGGAGGCCCAGCAGATCCTCAATATCTCCACGCTCACCCCTGAGGAGCTCCATAAGGTGTTTACACACACACACACGCATACACACACACTTAAAAGTACATTGAAGACGACACCCAGAGAACACAGTCCCTGCCCTAGCCCCTTCCCCTAGGAACTTCACGACACATAGATGATTGGATGGGTATAAACAATGTACCGGTACCTCCATCTTGTCCCCTAATAGGCTAGGAGGAGATGTTGCATATTGTTCATCCCGATCCAGTGATATTTACACAAGTGTCTATGGGGTAGGGCCCGGGCTAGGGGGTTTTCTGGACAGGGCCACACTCTCAAATGTCCTCCTTAGAAGACAGGAAGTTCCTTCATGTGGCCTACATGCAAGACAGACAAGTTGTGTCCTCCCTTGAAACCCCTTTGGACTAAACTCAATTGGCACAATTTCTTGAATTTTTGAAGTGTTAATTTGATTATAAATGTATTTTTTATTTTTATTTCACCTTTATTTAACCAGGTAAGCCAGTTGAGAACAAGTTCTCATTTACAACTGCGACCTGGCCAAGATAAAGCAAAGCAGTGCGATTAAAAACAACCACATATGGGGTAAAAAAACATAAAGTCAAAAAATACAACAGAAAATATATATACAGTGTGTGCAAATGTAGCAAGTTATGGAGGTAAGGCAATAAATAAGCTATAGTGCAAAATAATTACAATTAGTATTAACACTGGAATGCTAGATGTGCAAGAGATTATGTGCAAATAGAGATACTGGGGTGCAAAAGAGCAAAATAAATAACAATATAGGGATGAGGTAGTTGGGTGGGCTAATTTCAGATGGGCTGTGTACAGGTGCAGTGATCGGTAAGGTGCTCTGACAACTGATGCTTAAAGTTAGTGAGGGAGATAAGAGTCTCCAGCTTCAGAGATTTTTGCAATTCGTTCCAGTCATTGGCAGCAGAGAACTGGAAGGAATGGCGGCCAAAGGAGGTGTTGGCTTTGGGGATGACCAGTGAGATATACCTGCTGGAGCGCAGACTACGTGTGGGTGCTGCTATGGTGACCAATGAGCTAAGATAAGGCAGGGATTTGCCTAGCAGTGATTTATAGATAGCCTGGAGCCAGTGGGTTTGACGACGAACATGTAGTGAGGACCAGCCAACAAGAGCGTACAGGTCACAGTGGTGGGTAGTGTATGGGGCTTTGGAGACAAAACGGATGGCACTGTGATAGACTACATCCAATTTGCTGAGTAGAGTGTTGGAGGCTATTTTGTAAATGACATCGCCGAAGTCAAGGATCGGTAGGATAGTTAGTTTTACGAGGGCATGTTTGGCAGCATGAGAGAAGGAGGCTTTGTTGCGAAATAGGAAGCCGATTCTAGATTTAACTTTGGATTGGAGATTCTTAATGTGAGTCTGGAAGGAGAATTTACAGTCTAACCAGACACCTAGGTATTTGTAGTTGTCCACATACTCTAGGTCAGACCCGTCGAGAGTAGTGATTCTAGTCGGGTGGGCGGGTGCCAGCAGCGTTCGATTGAAGAGCATGCATTTAGTTTTACTAGTGTTTAAGAGCAGTTGGAGGCTACTGAAGGAGTGTTGTATGGCATTGAAGCTCGTTTGGAGGTTTGTTAACACAGTGTCCAATGAAGGGCCAGATGTATACAAAATGGTGTCGTCTGCGTAGAGGTGGATCTGAGAGTCACCAGCAGCAAGAGCGACATCATTAATATACACAGAGAAAAGAGTCGGCCCAAGAATTGAACCCTGTGGCACCCCCATGTATTTACTTATTACGCCATTGGTGGTGCCAACCTGTTCATGACTGACCCGCTTTACTTTGTCAACAGAACTATGAACACCTTTTTAAAGTCAACGACAAGGCAGTGGGCGGCTCCTTCTATCTACAGTCCAAGGTGAGGTTCATTGTTTCATTTCCAGTATCGCGCCATCTCTTTGCGAGCCAGTGCTTACTAGTGCCAGAGAGGCTTGAAACCAAGAGACTCAACAATCAATTGCTTCCTTCCTGTAACAACCGCTATGAAGACTCAGACCACCTCCTTGAGGTATTTACAGGAAGTAATGGCAAGTTGAGTCTCTTGGGTTTCATACCTCTTCGGTGCTATTAAGGCTTGCACAGAGCCTTGCACAGGGCTGTCCTGATAACTGAAATTAGGCTAATAATATTGGATAGTCACTACAGGTCTGAGAATGTGCCCTGTCATAATAATCATGATCATGCCTTATTGCTTATATTAGGATACCACATGCAAGATCCAGTGCGAGCCTAAATTCATATTTACAATGTCAATGCATCATTATGATAACAGGGTAGTAGATCAATATGATTTGCCATGTATTGAGGTGCACTGCTAAGGATTTTGCTCAAGTAATTGTGTGTCCTGTCTGTCTGTCTGCTTGTGTGTGTGTCCATGTCTGTCCCTGTGTGTATTTTAAAGGTGGTGCGAGCAAAGGAGCGTCTAGATGAGGAGCTCTCTATTCAGACACAGGACAGTAAACCCAAGCCCCCACCAGAGCAGAAGCAACAGACTCCAGAAACATGAACCGTCCCCCTCCCTACCCCACCCACTGTAAATTATACCCTCAATAAAAGCCTTATCCTTTTCTCAACCCATGTCTCTGTGTGTATGACTCTGTACGAGATCAGGGTCGTGTTCATTAGGCACCAAACGGAAGAAACTGGATTGAATCGGAGAGGTCTATACCTGGAATTGGCCAATAAGAAACACTAATTTTCATTTTCCGCAATGTGCTCTAATGAACAGAACCTGTGAATTACCTGGATCAGACCTGGGTCATATACATTAGTATTTGAAAATGCTAAATGACTAAAAATGTTTTAAAAAAATATATATATATATATATATATTTGAAAATGCAACAAATGCTCATTCATTATGTCACATCTACATCACAATGATGCCACCGTGTGGTTGGTCACAGTAGTGTAAGTCTCCATAATGGAAGAATTGAGCAGATCTTGTTACTTGGAGTCGAGAGCCATCCTGTGTAACCAAAAAACGGTTAACTCCAAATATAATGCAAAATAAACTTCTGTAACACAATAATTATAATACATTGTTCTATTAGCTACTGTTGCTACATGGGTTGAGGGAGGAAAGTAGGGGTAGCCATTAGCCACTTTAGAGTTGAGATACACCCCAAAAATACCCAGCCATTGATTCATTCAGGAAGCTTGTTAACCAAATTAGGTTAACATTTAGCCGCCCATTATTAGGAGGTTGGCTGGTATGTTTTTTTTGTGATGGCTCCAATCACATTCCAGTAGAGAAGGAGTCACTGCTTAAGGAGATGATTGACCTCACCTGTCCTCAATCAAGCAACCTGATTGATCAGCTATATAAAATACCTGGGGTGTGATCATTAGTCCAAAACGTTTTACAACAGAAACCGGTTACTCCAAACGGAAAACGTTTTGCAACGAAAACGAGAATTTCTATTGGACAAATGCAGTTGGTCCCTCCCCGTTTCATTCCGTTTGGTTCTGTTTGATTCCTTGTGAGTACACCCCTGTTTAAGCTAATTTCTATGGTGTGTTCCTAATTGATATTGGAAGAATGTATATGTATGTACTAGTACTTGTGTTTTGACTAGGGTTGAATATTTTCCCGGTATTTTACAAACGTTCCATTCCGAGAATAAATCACTTTTCTCCCGGGTAATGCGGTATTTCCCTCCAAAACCGGAATTGTAATTCTAAAGCATATAAATAGGCCTATATCTGGATTTGATTAGTGATTTGATCGAAAATTCAAGCCTGATGCTACCTGAGACTGATGAATCATACATTAAATACATTTTATGAGCCCAAGCCCAAAAAAGCCCAAATGATTGTGCCGTTATCCAACACATAGACTGTACGCACATTACGCACGACATAAAAGCCCATAGATGTAGCTAGCTTTATGCTCTCTTGGGTAAATAAATCAAACAAGCTCCAGTAGGCTAATCTTTTTGAGTGTGAACTGTATTACTGTACTGTATTATATGGACTGAAATTATGCACCTCCTTCAAATCCCGAGTGGCGCAGTGGTCTAAGGCACTGCATCGCAGTGCTAGCTGTGCCACTAGAGATCCTGGTTCGAATCCAGGCTCTGTCGTAGCCGGCCGCGACCGGGAGACCCATGGGGCGGCGCACAATTGGCCCAGCGTCGTCCAGGGTAGGTGAGGGAATGGCCGGCAGGGGATGTAGCTCAGTTGGTAGAGCATGGCGTTTGCAACGCCAGGGTTGTGGGTTCGATAAAAAATATAATGTATGTGCTAACTGTAAGTCGCTCTGGATAAGAGCGTCTGCTAAATGACTAAAATGTAAAAATGTAAAAAAAATGATAAAGTTGGGAGAGAACATGCAATTCTGGTGCAGCACATGCGGCCTACAAAATTACAAGTATAGGCTAGCGAATTTGATTAACATTTTGAAATATAATAGTGCTTATTTCTATAATTAGTAGGCTGACTCATACAGTAGGGGAAAAAAGTATTTAGTCAGCCACCAATTGTGCAAGATCTCCCACTTAAAAGATGAGAGAGGCCTGTAATTTTCATCATAGGTACACGTCAACTATGACAGACAAATTGAGAATTTTTTTCCTGAAAATCACATTGTAGGATTTTTAATGAATTTATTTGCAAATTATGGTGGAAAATAAGTATTTGGTCACCTACAAACAAGCAAGATTTCTGGCTCTCACAGACCTGTAACTTTTTCTTTAAGAGGCTCCTCTGTCCTCCACTCGTTACCTGTATTAATGGCACCTGTTTGAACTTGTTATCAGTATAAAAGACACCTGTCCACAATCTCAAACAGTCACACTCCAAACTCCACTATGGCCAAGACCAAAGAGCTGTCAAAGGACACCAGAAACAAAATTGTAGACCTGCACCAGGCTGGGAAGACTGAATCTGCAATAGGTAAGCAGCTTGGTTTGAAGAAATCAACTGTGGGAGCAATTATTAGGAAATGGAAGACATACAAGACCACTGATAATCTCCCTCGATCTGGGGCTCCACGCAAGATCTCACCCCGTGGGGTCAAAATGATCACAAGAACGGTGAGCAAAAATCCCAGAACCACATGGGGGGACCTAGTGAATGACCTGTAGAGAGCTGGGACCAAAGTAACAAAGCCTACCATCAGTAACACACTACGCCGCCAGGGACTCAAATCCTGCAGTGCCAGACGTGTCCCCCTGCTTAAGCCAGTACATGTCCAGGCCCGTCTGAAGATTGCTAGAGTGCATTTGGATGATCCAGAAGAGGATTGGGAGAATGTCATATGGTCAGATGAAACCAAAAAGAACTTTTTGGTAAAAACTCAACTCGTCGTGTTTGGAGGACAAAGAGTGCTGAGTTGCATCCAAAGAACACCATACCTACTGTGAAGCATGGGGGTGGAAACATCATGCTTTGGGGCTGTTTTTCTGCAAAGGGACCAGGACGACTGATCCGTGTAAAGGAAAGAATGAATGGGGCCATGTATCGTGAGATTTTGAGTGAAAACCTCCTTCCATCAGCAAGGGCATTGAAGATGAAACGTGGCTGGGTCTTTCAGCATGACAATGATTCCAAACACACCGCCCGGGCAACGAAGGAGTGGCTTCGTAAGAAGCATTTCAAGGTCCTGGAGTGGCCTAGCCAGTCTCCAGATCTCAACCCCATAGAAAATCTTTGGAGGGAGTTGAAAGTCTGTGTTGCCCAGCGACAGCCCCAAAACATCACTGCTCTAGAGGAGATCTGCATGGAGGAATGGGCCAAAATACCATCAACAGTGTGTGAAAACCTTGTGAAGACTTACAGAAAACGTTTGACCTGTGTCATTGCCAACAAAGGGTATATAACAAAGTATTGAGTAACTTTTGTTATTGACCAAATACTTATTTTCCACCATAATTTGCAAATAAATTCATTAAAAATCCTACAATGTGATTTTCTGGATTTTTTTTCTTCTCAATTTGTCTGTCATAGTTGACGTGTACCTATGATGAAAATGACAGGCCTCTCATCTTTTTAAGTGGGAGAACTTGCACAATTGGTGGCTGACTAAATACTTTTTTTCCCCACTGTATATACCTATTATAATATTTCCCTAATGTTATTGCCTACCTCCAATTTCTCTCTCAATTGTTGCTTCATTCCTTCCTCGCTTTCAACAGTTAAATGAAATAAGTTTCGTTGTCCATATCGTCATCATTCTAATGACATGCTTGCATAATATAGGACTAGAATTAGATGCAGACGGCTTTCACTTCTGTTCACGAAGATTGAATGGTTATGGGTCTGAATAAATAACTGCTATAGCCTACCGCCATCGCGAGTTCGCTCTTCTTTCAAACTACCCGTGAGTTATATTGGCTGCTGTATTTAACATTCAGTAAACAAGAGCTTGCGTCCCTCTTTGAATAGTCTATTGGTATAAGAAATGCAACAACAACAAAAAGTCCAGCAAGCTATTCTACTCTAGCTTTTCCTACATGAGACTCCAAGAGCTAAGGAGCGTTTTTTTAAAGGAGAGAGGCCAGCGGGCCCATCAAAAGTTGGTAGGCGGAACCTAACGCCTGATTGGTTACCCTCTGCATCAAGCCAAGACAAATCAATTCCGGATAATGTCAGCAGGTCCTGCTTCTACATCCTCTGCTAAGTTTAAAATGTCTCTAACCAACTCCCTGGAAAGTTCACGGAGATCCTCCATTGTCTCTATCCAGGTTGGCCTACTCTACTTCAGACCAAAGCAATGGATCAGACTAGATTCGCGTTAGCCCCGCCCACTGACTTTGATGGGTCAGTTTGACAGTTTTAAGTAATTCATGAATCACTGCAATGCAGGATCATGAAATGTAAATGTAAATAGTGAAATAATTATATATGTATTTTACATAAAATGAATCGGTATTTGAATTAATTAATGATACATTTAATTACACATTTATGTATTTAATTCTAATTTGAATTAATTAATGACACATTTAAGTAATTATTTAATGGTGTATTTATTTATTTAATTGTGGCACTTTTAGTCCTCCATAGAGCCCAGGTGCGTGCGTATTGCGCAAGTGACAGAGACTATAAATTTGAAACTTATTATGCATAACCCATCATTCAATACCTAAATATAAGGCTAGTACTGAATTGAATGTACTACCAGAAAGAGGTAAGCTAGGACATCTATATATATATACCTATATCAATCTTGAACAGGATTATCTATTTTGGATGCAATTTGAATGGAATTGAGAAAGACTGCGAGAGATTGCTTACGCGTGCACTGATTTAAAGCAACGATATTCGAGTGATAGGCGGTGTTAAAACTGTGCAGCTGCAATTAATAAATATATATCTTTACAATTAAAAAATAAGGTGACCCCGAAAGCCAGATGGAGATGTGTAAATTCGACGCGCATTCGGTCCTTATATTACTGTAGCATAGGCTATGGTGCAGCAAATGTAGGGCCTACCTGTCACAAGAAAAAAACGTTACCATGATGAGATTATAGGTCTACATGCATTGTGAACTGCGCTCCATACTGAGATTTGCTGTCTGTCCCCACCCTGAGCGTTGATGACTGATCATGCAGAG